CAAAAATGGATTGCCTTGGTGTGTCTGCGGCTGTGTGTGAGCGTGTGAGTGTGTGTGTGTGTCAGCGCCTCTTCACACTGAAGAGAGGCAACATGAACCTGATGCAAGACAACCCTGAACAAGAAGACACAATCTTTAAACTGTACTTCAAGCTACTGCATATTTACGGAATTATCCACCGCCTTTACACTGACATAAAAAGCAGCATGAATAGCTTTTAACAGCAGGAGCAATTCATATTTAAATACATATACTGTAATCTCTCCAAGCTTATGTCCATATATATGGTTAGAAGTCAAATATACAGAGGCAAAAAACTACCATTTCAAGGAAACAAACCCACTACAGAAGATGCTCCCTCTGCTGAACATTAGCATAGTGACCATGACAGTAAATATATTTTTAGGCTGACATCCATAAAGCTAAGCCTGGGAATATTTTATCTCTTTGATTTTTAGCAGGCCCAAGCTGGATTAGAAGCTGATCAGATCCACGTCATTCTTACTATTGAGCTGCAGGTTGTTTGTCACATTGCCTCCACTTGTGAGACTGACTTAATACATGTAAACTGAATTTGTGAGAAACATTTGTTGTGTGGCGCAAGACACTGGAAGCACAGCAACGGTCTGAAGTCAATGATTGCAAAACTAGACATAAAGTGGTCATTTATTTCCTTTGTTTATCTTCTTTTAAATTAAATATGGCTAGTTTCCACCAGGCATTAATCTCCTGTGTCTTACAACACCGAATACTTAAGAGTGATTCATTTCTGCCAGCAACCTTTGCTGATTATCCAACTTCAAAATGCAATAAAGCCTCTAAAATGGAGCCTTAAGTAAAATCTGATCATCTATATTCAGACGTCCAAGCAGTAAGACAACTGTAATAATTTATTCACTGCAGCAGGACAGACTCAGTATATGAACTGCTCAAGCAGTTTCATACTTCTTGAGCAGTTCTAAAAAAATCTGAATGAAGATGCGAAACCTAGCTGACAGCGAGAGAATGTGCGGGATGCCCGCATGTTTCCTTGACAGAGAGCCTCACAGACAGCCAATCCCAAGGAGTTTTTATCAATTAGCTAAGAAAGTTTTTGTTACAAAGTCAAGAGTGTCACTGGGGAACTGAAGCCCAATTCAGTGCTCCTCCAAAACACTGCAGTGTGCCAATTTATGGTCCTGACCCGGGGTCAAAGAGACAGGAGCAAAGAGAGGGAGTCGCACACACACACAGACATACGCGCACACACTTGGAAGTAATGGACAAGGCACGCTTTCTTGCACGCTCACACACACACACAGGCTTCTGCTTCCACTCTGATTTCATAAAGGTCAGTCCCCGAGAGTGGCTGTCGAGGCGATTCAAGTGTCTCCTCTGCTATTCTTAAAACTTTAGTGTTGTCTCCTGATCACTAAAACACACACATGCACAAACACACACTCCCAGAGGTACAGGTCAGCTCAATCCCTAAACCAATCAGTTGTTTTCTTCTTACCTCCACATCTTTTTTCTCTTTCTGTGACTTGGCATCTCTGTTTGCATCTCTCCCTCTCTTTTACCCTCTAGCTGTTCTTTTTTTAAATCTCTTCTCCTCTCTGTTTCTGTCAAATTTTGTGATTCAACTCTAATCGGTCAATCGTACATTTTCATTAACCTCATGCTCCATCTTTAAAATCTCCCGAGGAGTGCAGATATACTAATGAATCTGCTTTCATTTAGGGGAAGCAAAAAGGGGAAAGAAAAATAGAAAAATACAAAATAGAAATATTTTTTAAAACCAAACAATAAATAGAAAACTACAGACTGGAACACATGGTAGGAAAACTATCAAAATTAAATCCATCAATTAGAAGGTAAAGCAGAGTATTCTGATAAATGACCAGATCTGTGTTGTCTAAACAAATTTGAATGCCCAAATTTTAGAATTCTACGATTTTTTTTTCTCCTAAATGATATTATCAGTGTCTTTACAGCGTAATAAAGTGTAATTAATCTCTGTTTTCATTAGTCTGATTTAAACTATAAACTGATTCCGGTTGACAGATAGGAAAGAATTCTCTATCAAACTGAAAACTATTTATTTTTAAACATATCTTCTCCTCTGGTTTTACCTGTTGGCTACATTTCCTCTGTATAACATGAGCAGGGTTCTGTCTATTGAAAGTCATATGCATGAAAGCCAGCTTCAAAACAAGAAGAAAAAGCTGATTACAATATTTGGCTTTGTCACCATTGCTTTTTTTCTTGAGGATAATCATTAAAATGATCAATTAAAAGCATTACAGCTTTCCAAAACAGCACCAAACAGACACACACATAGACACAAACACACACACAGGTCTGGTCTGTACCTGCACTGAAAAATCTTACTCATTATATAATCACTTCGTAGACAAAACATACAATGTATTCATTGCCATTTAAACAGCAAATCCTTAAAAAGATTGTTCCAAGCTAAGATGGAGTTTGTTAATCTTGTTAAGACGAGATCTACCGCATTTTGATGAATCAAGCGAAAGTCAATTCCGAGAGATTAATCTCTGAACATCAGCTGAGGTTAAGTGCATCCCAGTGAAATGAGGAGCCATCGCTCTAAACGGGGAGAGAAAGTCTGGCGTCAGGTTTAATTCACCCGCACTAAGTTTGTGGTGTCTGTTCCCTGACTTATTTGCCAACATGCTAAATGAGCTCAGTGCTGTCCTCAGTGCTTACCGGTGCTGATGCGGCACACGCGAGCGCAACAGAACACACACGCACACACACACACAAGGTTTTTCCCTAATCTTCATGCAGGTTGAAGGCGGACGCTGCCGCATTATGCTAATGAGCATCTATGCCGTCCAATCACACGCTTCACTGACTAGAAGTCAGGCAGGGGATGGGGAATCGAGAGAAGGGTGAAGCAAGAAGAAGAGAGCAAAGTGGAGAAGGTAGACGGATGAGGGGAGAACCAATGAGGGCGGTAAAATATGACACCGCCGTTTTGCCGGCATGGAAGGGGTTTGCTTACAAAAGGTATTCCAAAAAAACCGAAAGGACCCTTTCGAAAAAAAAAAAAAAAAAACCCACTGGAGATTATCAAAGACCAACTTCTGAGAGGTGATACATGATGCAAGGCGATCTGAAACTCTGAAAGAAAAAGGTTTTGCTTTTTGATGTTCTTAAAGTGAAAAACACCATTACCAAAGAAACACTCCCGTTTGAATGCCTCTAATGGTCTTTTTCAAACTGAAGAAAACGTGGAGGTGCTTTGCATCACCTTTGACAGCACGATGAATTTCTGATGGACATCACTTGTACCTGCAGGGCCTTGTTTACCATTTCTTGCATTTGTGTGGATATCAGCAGTATCAGTATTTTGTGGGTGAATGAAAACGAGGTAATAAATGAAAGCACAGCTATGCGTTTGGTGTGTGGGTGCTGGACCTTTTTCTCAGCCTCTTGCTTGGCGTACTGCAGCAGCATGGGCTCTCCGTGCTCCTGGTAGTAGGCCCTCTGGCAGCGGTCGGACACGGCCGGCTCATTGGGCAGGAAGTTGCTGGCCCACACCTGTAAGGACGCAGAGTGGGTAACTTCAGGTGTGCGGTAGTGGGAGCGAGTTGGCACGATTTTGGTAATCACGATTTCCAGGGCCGACTCTGTTTTGTGACTTATGGTACAAGACGAGGGTTCTGGGATTGAATCCTAGCTGGGGACTTTCTGTGTGCCGTTTACACACTCAACCCATCCTCCATTTCTCTGGCTTCCTCCCAAAACTATCAATGTTACAGACGATTAACCACATCTAAATCGTGTGTGTGTGTGCGTGTGTGTGTGCACACGGGTCGCCGTTCGTCTCTGTGATGGACTGATGGCCATCACTTACACCATGACATCGAGGACAGATTTCTGGCTCGCTGTGACCTTAAACAGGACAAAGATGGATCAGAAAATGATGAGAAGAGAGAGCAGATTTGAAGGAACACCCAGATCATCTGTTTTCTTGGAAAATAAAAAAAAACAGTTTGACCATCGGCCTATTACTAACAGCACTAAAAAACCTTGGCTTTGCGTTGACATCAAATCTTAATGATATCTCACCAAACCACAAACAACAATGCACATATAACATATTGACAATGACACATTAGATGAATGCAGTTTATCGTCTTGTAAAATTCCCCTCCTTTACTTTCTATGCTCGCTCTTTCCTCAGCCACACTGTCTGCGTAGTTTACCTGCCCTCAGTTTTCGAGCTGCCTTTGATTGGACTGTAATCACTCAGCTGTGCTACAGCCCGTCTAGAACCGGCCCCCTTCAGACCCGCATCGACTCCCTGTCCGCCTCTTGTCGCACTGTAAGCCTTTTATCTTGCTTTTGTCTTTAAGTTTCAACAGCTCATCCAGTACGGTCTGTGTGTTTGGATAACATAGCAGGCCGTTTACCATAAACCCAAGACAACTCATTTTGTACAAAAATGGAAATGGATATATTACACAGCGTAGATTTTTTACATTTGACAGTATTAAAAAACCATCAAACTCATAAAAAATAGAAAAAATAAAAACACCCCTTACCACAATGCATTCAACTCAGATCAGACACTGACATTATCTCTAATTAAGAAAGTGAGCATCCCTGGAGAAAAAAGCTTCAAAACACGACAGAAGCTGAAATTGAGAGAAGAGATAAATCTGATTTACTCCTGCTACAAGCTGCAGCGTTTTGGGCTTTTTACAGGCTTTATGGCTTTATAATGCCTTTCTATGGCAATTGAAAGCTTTTTTTATAGGCGACAATAACCATCAGGGCAGACATTTGCATTAGTTGTGTTTGCCCTTTAATGGCTATTAGAGCGGACGAGCGATGCAAAATGACTCTCCGCTCTGACAACATTTGAACCGGAGCAAATGGTGGGCAAGGTTTAGAACAAGAGGTGTTTACATGTGACACATGCAGAAAAGAAAAGCGAAAATAGTAAATGAGTGCGCGAAGTAAGGTATGCTCTAACTAGCGAATGTTGATTAGTTATCGATAACCTTATTAGTGTATCACCACACCACAATGTGACTTAAAAAGTTTCCTGGCACTTTCTCTGCTTAAACTTTCTCCTGACCGTAATTATAGTCACAGGAGCATAAACCATACTACTGGTTCTGATTAAAGTGACCCTTCCCGAATCCAGGAGGACCAAAAGAGTCAGATGTGAGTAATGTGAGGATTTCAAAGTGCGAATGCTCCTCATTCAGGCGGCTCCCGGCATGCGGGACAACTAATGTGAAATTATTTAGCCAGGATCTGTCCAGATGGGCCTGTGATTGATCCATAGGATGACAGAGCTGTGCCCCCAACAAGCATCTGTTGATTCCCAAAGAGAGCTCAGGAATGACCGCACGCAGACATACAATAAAGGATGAGATCTATTCTCACGAGATACAACTTTTAAAGAGGAATTCAGCCCCACGCCAATACTCATCTGCAAGGGATAAAGGCAGGCAAATGCTTTGCAAAAAAAATAATAGATATTGATAGCCAAGTTAAAAAAAGGATTTTTCCATTCCGGAAGCATTAAAGCTTCCTTCCTCTTCTTATACAAAAATACATGATGCTCTGCTCCTGCGAGACTAAAGTTATCAGTAGAAATTGTGCCTCTACAACAAGATTAACATTTTTTTATTTGTTACTCTTAAAGTTTAAGATCCATTCCTTGATTTTGCCTTGAAATGACCGTGAAGCTGCGTGTGCATACAGCCACACTTAAAATTATTTCAACAAGTCCTCTGCTCGCCTCTTATGTCTTGAGAAAAAAATAAGAGAAAGGGAACATGCGCGTGTCCTAGTGGACACTTCAGAGCGGAATAAATCATTATGCGTCTGATTTGTTAGCATTTATAAGTTTAAATGAGACTTTGACATCGGCTGACATGGATTTTTATTCGTCTGAATGAAAACTCTTTGAAAACTGAACACAGCAGCCTCCCTGTGCAGCGGATGCTTCTTCCCTGGTTTTCAGACTTGGTTTTCTTAGGTCACACACTGCCATCTGTTGTTGAATTCTACATTTCTGTAAAAGGAAACTTAAGGGTATAATATCAAAAAGACTCAAATCTGTATAAGTCCAGTTCAGAACCATCTTTTTCTGTTTCATTTATGAGTAAAGAGAGAGTTTTATTCATAGAGCTTCAGTATAGGGGAAGACACAAAGAGCTATTTATTCCAGAGAGAGAAAAATGTGTCTGTATGCTGCTTTAATTTAGAATTTTGCACATCCTTTCCTTTTCTGTTAGGATAAAAGATGAGAAAACTTTTTTTCCTTTCCTTTCCTTTCCAAGGTACCAGACCATTCATATTTGCAGGTTCACAAGGTGGGATGTGTATATTTAGAAAAAAAACAAGAGGAAACTTTTCCTGGTTTCCAATGAGCAAGGTCATTTTCATGAATACTCAAAAAAACTCTCAAAAGCAAGTCATTGTTATTTAGCTTCACAATATATTCCCAGTAATTTTCTTAGTGCAGTTAGTTGAATTTTTCTTTTCAGTTTTTGTTTAGCACACGGCTCTGTCCTCCTCAGCCAACCATCCCTTTATTTTTTTTGTCAGTCTTCTTCCTGCCGGTGCATTTTTTAAACATCCCACAGTGACGTGACACTTTGACAGGGAACGCTTCTCTCTCTATCTGTCTGAGCTGTTAGTCTCGGCTGCGTAGCCTAACTGAAGAAGAAAACACAGGGAAAAAAAGGAGAAAAAAAAGCAAACATTCCGGGCTTTAATATAAGTGTGACCGTGCATACACTTTTACAGAAAATGTGACAAAGGCAGACTGTTGCATCTGATTTCCGGATGAGCAGTCAATTATCAGCCTCTGTGCAAAGACTTATCTCACAGGCAAACTTGGAGGTGTTTTTTTTTTTTTTCCTCCATCGTATTTTGCTTTTTTAATCACATCTCACATTCGCTGTTATAATGCGTGAAGGAGCAGCTTCTCATACGTGCAAATTGGACGAGTGTGGTGGATCGTATCGTGCATATGTGATAAAAACATTTGTTTTTTTTGTCATTCAAACAAGCTTGTGCGGTGTGTTTATCGGAGCAGAAATTCTTGTTAAAGATATCTAATCAATCAGTAAATAAGAAACCATAAAGTAGTAGAGATAAAGCTGGAGAGTGGCAGGATATGTTTTTTTTGTCCCTTTTTCTTTATGTGGCACATTCTGATATTTAAGAATTAAAAAACATTGCCCTTACATAGAAACATCCAAACACACCTGGAAACAAATGCCTCCCCACAATTTACACACATGTGGCAAATTGTAGAACTTTACACCAGAATCCACGTTAGCATAGTCAACACAGTGAAGAGATAGTTTTTTGTTGTTATTTAAGTATTTTAATATGCTCTTCCGGTTTTGATCGGTGATCCGAAGTTCACAAAAAACCTGGTTGTATTTGTTCCCCATTTTTTACCTAATGGGTCATGTGATTTGTATCTAAGGTTGGGGTGGGGTGGGTGGGTATTGATCACTGACTCTGTAATGTTCCTGTTTCCCATCTTGGGAATTTGTTCTTAAATAAAAAACAGTGAATCACAAAAAAAAAAAAAAAACCTGGTTGTGTAGTCTGATTTTAAACTAGGGGGCTGCACACGAGTGAGCACGCATCACTTTCCCTTTACAGAATAGATATCTACCGATGGTAGCGTCTCACATGGAAGCACTGAAACCGTCAGGGACAACACATCTTGGTCCCTTTAAAAAATAATGAACAAGCCAAGCGCTCATCGGAAGTCAAGGGTTTGAGAATGTGGGACTCCCCCAGCCCGCAGGATACATTGTAATGTCATCCAAACGCATCGTGGTTACCGTGAACACTCTTTGGGATGGAGTGGAGCGCCGTGGCTCTGAAGACACGGATGGTTCACACCCTATTACAGTCACAGTGAAAGGATTTACTAATGCAGGCTGAGCAGATGTGCCTGCATTTAAGGCTTTTGGCGTACAGAGCCATTATGATTCCAGTGACCGATGGGACCGGAACAGATGTAAACGGGCCGTGCCCTCACCAATGATATTATAAACACAAAATAGATGCATGCGTTTCCTACCTGGCAGTGTGGATGTGGATTTGAACAGCCCATCATTGCCCCTTTATTCTCAAAGATCTACAAACAAGAAGCAAGAGCATGTTAATACAAGGTGCTGCCTTCATTAAATCTTATTCTGTGATGTCCCAACAACAATAAATATTCAGGTATGTTTTTTTTATCTACGATTGGATGACCTGAGGATGACATTTATTAATGTAGATTAGTCTTCTTAGGGATTCTGGATTAATTCAGCGACTATGTTGCAGGGATTTCATGATCGTTATTTTATGGTTATTTCATGGTGCTAGCTGTTTCTAACTGTACACAAAGAGAAATCCATAAGAAAAGAACAAAAAAACACTTTTAAATAAATGTGATGAATATTTCAACGCCGCAGCGCACGCAGAATTTAACAGGTGCTTAAAGTTTTACATCTTATCATACATTTATCAACACTCTTGTCCGTCTTCTGAATATGTGAGCCGGCCCAGAGGCGACATGAAAGATTTACCCGATCCAATACAAGCCGCGTTAAAATGGAAAATAGGACTGGGAAAAAAAAATGAATTAGTGACACTAGAGAATGGTTTGGGGAGCTTATTACCATTTCAGAGGTATCCAGGCCAGGAAAAAAAAAATGAGATCAATGTTGTGAATGTGATTAGCAGGGAGAGTGTGTTTGAATCCCGTACCTGAACCCACGGGTACGTGGCACCAAGCTCCTCCACGAGCTCCGACCACTTGTCAATGACAGCGACCACCTCTTGATCTTTCATAAGAGGGAGGGTGACGTCTGACCAGGGATGGAAACACATGACCTTACTGTGGGAGTCATAGAGAAAGAGAAAAAGAGGGCAGGTGGTAGTTTTGTAAAACTCTGTCAGCATAGATGTAAGATAGAGTTCTTCATTTGTTAAAGAGGGAACCTCCTTATAGTGAGATTTAATGTTTGGTTTTCTCTTTGGTGGACCCTTTGAAACTTTAACCTGATTATAAACTCGATTTTTACCTGTTTTAAATGAAAAAAGGTAAGCTTTTTTTTTATTTAAATGTTGCTTTACATCCTGGTGCCGTGATTGGCACTCCAAGCCGTGGCCGCTTAGATAAAGGGAGGGTTGAGTCACCGTTTTTTTCTTTCCATTCGGTTTCTCGGTATATCTCCCCAGCCTTTCCTGTAGTTTATAACAGCTGTGTGGAGCAATTCACGACCAATAATTTGTGCATCTGGTGCACCATGTCCTCAGAAAACCTTAAGGTACTGGACTATTAGAGGACAAAAGGATAAGGGGAGGCACAAAAAAACACTATGGACTGCAGAAGAAAGGCGTGTGAACATAATGTCCTGAAGAAATGGGAACAAAATTAAACTTACACATGGCCTGGGTTTAAACAGTGTTGAAATATTGACTTTGAAGCATGTTAAATTTGTAGAAACTGAAACTAACTAATTCCACTTGCATCATGTCTGTATGTGGGCCAAAAAACACCCCCCCACCCTCCCTCATTCACCTGGATATGTATGGAGAAATGACCTTTGTTGACACGTGCGCTCTACATGCCCCACAAATAGTTATCGGGGCATCTGTAAAATATTCCTCTTTTCTCAGTCATTGCATCTCCAGGGGCAGTTCAAACTGTTGTGTTGAAAAGAAGAGCACACGCCTCATCTCTGCCTCATCTTGTTCTCTATGTTTTTGTTAGTGTGTCTACCATTTATCAAGATGTTCTCATTGTTATTCATCAATAATAAATGGGCCGCTGATGTCTCTTCGTTTATAAAAGATTCATTTATCTATCTTCCCTGGTTAAATGAATAAGCTGCCCGGGTGCTATTTGTAATGAAATCACCGCTTTGCTCTTTCCAGAGACGGCAGGATGAGTACAGCCGTGCGTCCCCTGCTATTTTTGAGACAGTCAAAAGGGAACACAGAGCCACGTCGTAAACACCGCTGTCTGGAAAATGAGGGTGGTGGTCTTTCTACAACTGGAAACTTTTTTCCCCCAAAATGAACTAAATTGCACCTCAGCTGACAGTAAAGGCCAAAGCCAAGTTCTAAAGAATTAGCAAAGCAAACAATAACCTAATAGTTACTATTACTGCCCCCCTATACTTGTGTTGGTTTATTAGACTTTGGTTCCAAATGGAGCTGAGTTAAAGCCAGAAAGCAAAAAACTTTGTTGAGAGGAATTGTTTTAATCTAATTGAATCTCCTTAAGGGAGATTTAATCTTACTTGTTATAAAATTCTTGAACTGAAGGCCTGATTTCTGAGTGTGTGGCATGTCTGAGCGAGGGCTTTTTTCCACCCTACCTGAACCATTTCTGAACTCTGCTTAGAAAAAGCCTGAGCATGTTGGTCCACGGGCACATGTTATTCTACCTTTAGCACTTTGTAGAGAGGATAGAGGTGTGTGGATTTAACACGCGTGCCTGATATCTCTGTGGGTTTATGAAATTGCTGTGCTCATGTGGATATTTGCTCTCAGGCTTAGGCCCGGTACGGAGGCAAAAAAGAAAGTGACTGTCAGAGTCTGTAAAATAAAATTTCTATTGACACTCAGGCTCTTCTGGGACACAAGCAGCAAGCACATGATCAATAATTGAACATGACTTTGGTGTTTATGCTCGCAGCAAAAGTGAATGGTCGCATTTATGAATTGTTCATGAGAAAGACTATTACAAGAGCTGGGAGCTGTCAGTGTGTTTGTTTTGGACCTCCAGCGAGCCCGACAAGTATTACAGCTTAAAGAAAGTTAAACAGAGCCAACTGCAACCCCAGTCACTAAACCAACACCACGTGCGTAGACTGCTTCTTTTTCAATGTTAAACTGGGTTTTTAAAACTTAGTTTGAGCATATTTACAAGAAAGTTACTGCTTTAAAGCCACATCTTTGGCCTTGTGATAAACTTGATGTACATAATAGCATACATACAAAACATTTGTAATTCACAAAAAGGCTAAAATCTCAGAACTTTCCGATAATATTGCATTTCTAAAGCTCTTCTTGAGGCTATAAGGTAAACAGGAAAGTGAAGTATCTTTAGTCGATGACTGGAGAGACTTAGAACAACTGACATGATAAATCATAAGAAAATGTCTTTCTTCAACCCATTTTATTCTCTTTTGTCTCTCATGACCCACATCCCCAAAAATCCGGTTTCCTGTGTTGTTGCTGTTCTTCTTTTTTTTCTCCTCCTCTAATTGGCTCTCTGAAAATGGCTTCAGGGCTATGAGCTGCTGTTTAGTCTCAGAGTTTTCTCTCTGTTCTCTGAAAACGGTAACAGAACCGTGTCGGGCTGAGCAGGACCGCGAGCGCAGAGTGCGTCTTAAAATAAGACAATGTGATGACAAAAAGCGCACGCGTGCTTGTCAAACTGAATCAGCCAGGGGAGGAAATTTACTGAATAGAGAGAATCAACACTGAAACGCCACAACGTGTCAATCACGGCTGATTCTGTGCCTTTTTTTTTTTTTTTTTTACTGCTGGAGTGCGTGCCGAGCAACACCCGACAGCCTTTGTATCTGCCGGCACGGGGGGAGTTAAACCCGGGGTTCAGCTTTCTACCAGCACATTCAGCGTTTGGTTTGGGTTTTTATCTATTATTAAGGCTTTATGTAACTCCGCTGTCAGGCAGATTCCTCTGAGCAATTTCAAACTC